CTCGATGATAAATTTTTTTAGAAAACAACAATTTACAATATAATTTCTACAACTATGCTTAATGGAAATTATTATGCATTGAAATTGTAAATAAAAAAGTAGAAAAATTTGTGAGAAAAGTCCTTTTATGTAGACCTTTTTTACTTGAAATGTCATTTTATTTTTTTAAAAAAGGTTGGGTTATGAGTCTTATGACTAATTGACTAGAGTCCTTTTACCATTTTGTGTGTTGATTTTATTTTCGCCTAAAAAAGTCACATGACCAAGTTTTTTTTTCTTTTTTTACCCCTGTTTTCCCACTTTTATTTTCCCCTTTCCCCCTTTTAAATCTTAACTTCTCAGTACTTTTCTCACTTATTAAACCCTAATTGAAGTATTGGGGTTAATTGTATTGAGAAATTATTTTTTGATAGAGAACTTTGCTATATTACAAAGCTTTTTGTTTGGAAAATGGCAAAATGGCCGGTGATAGGCATTGATTTAGGGACAACATACTCATGTGTAGGAGTGTGGCAGGCACAACAAAACCGTGTAGAGATCATTACTAATGACTTGGGAAGCCGTACGACACCGTCTTGGGTGGCCTTCACCCCTAACAATCGCCTTGTCGGCGAGGCGGCAAGGAACCAAGCGGGAAAGAACCCTTCAAACACTATTTATGGTTTGTTATTAACTTTTTTTTTTTTTTTCTTTTTTTTGGTTGATGATTTGCTTCCTATTCTAAGCATGTGATTAAATAGTTGCTTGAAAAGTTGAAAATTAATGTTGTAGTATTTGTTCTGTGTTAAGATTTCAATTGAATTTCACCGTTGACCAAAGAACTATAGTTTTTATGTTCATGATTTGGTTTGTTAATTTAGATTTTCTGTAAAAATGTTTGTAAGACTATTAATGAATTTGATTTGATGATTAATTAGATTCCACAAAATGCGAAACACATCTTGAACCTATATATATAGATAAGGGTTTTGACTTTGAATTATAGTGGTGATCTCAAAATATGTTTAACATTAAGCCTAAACTATACAATATGTAGTTACATTAAATTAAATTTATGAGATGAACATGTTATTATAAGCACTAATAATGCACTATGTTATGAGGTGCAAATAACTTGTTTTCCTAGTGGGCAAATGAATTGATTTATGTCTCTCTTAAATCTTAACTTGAGGTTGAAAATGACTGATTTTGTACGACTACAGTGTCAATGTGTCATAGGTTTCTAACTTCTTGTTAATGAGTATGAACAGACGCCAAAAGGCTCATAGGTAGAAGATTCAACGACGACAAGCTTCAAAAGGACATGAAGCTCTGGCCTTTTAAAGTAGTTGCTTGTCCTGATGGTAACGATGGAAAGAAGCCCATGATCATGGTCACCAACAAGGGTGAAGAGAAGAAACTTGCTCCTAAAGAGATATCCTCAATGGTGCTCGCGAAGATGAAAGAAACTGCAGAGGCCTATCTTGACTCAGAAGTAAAAAATGCTGTTGTTACTGTTCCGGCCTATTTCAGTGATGCTCAACGTCAGGCAACTAAAGATGCAGGACTCATTGCTGGACTGAATATCATACGAATAATTAATGAGCCAACAGCAGCCGCGATTGCCTATAATTTTGACAAGTTTAAGAGCAACGAAGTCACCCCTAAGAATGTGTTGGTGTTTGATCTTGGAGGAGGGACTTTTGACGTTTCTTTTGTCACTATTAAAAGAAACGTTGTGGAAGTGAATGCTGTAGGTGGTAACACCCACCTTGGTGGAGTTGATTTTGACAGTAGAATGGTGAGTCATTTTGTTGTGGAATTTAAAAGAGAGCACAATAAAGACATTAGTGCCAATCCTAGAGCTCTTGGGAGGTTGAGAGCTGCTTGTGAAAAGGCTAAGAGACAACTTTCGTGGACTACTGAGACTAATATCGAGATTGATTGTCTGTTTGATGGAATAGATTTTTCAACTACCATAACTCATGCTCGATTTGAGAAGATGAATATGGATTTGTTCAGGGATTGTATGGATGTTGTTGAGAAGTGTTTGAAGGATGCCAAAATGGGAAAGAGTGATGTTGATGATATTGTTTTTGTGGGTGGTTCGACAAGGATCCCGAAAATTCAGCAAATGTTGCAGGACTATTTTAATGGAAAGGAGATATCCAAAAGCCTGAACCCGGATGAGGCTGTTGCCTATGGAGCAGCCATTTATGCTGCAATCTTGAGTGATGTACGACAAGATGAGCAATTTTCGCTTGTTGATGTCACTCCTTTATCTCTCGGTGTTGGGCTAAGTAGTGGCGCTTTCAGAGTTGTGATTCCAAGGAACACACCGATCCCTACCAAGGTAAAGAAGAACTCGGTCACTGTCTCTAACCACCAAACTAGGATGAGGACTAGTGTGTATGAAGGCGAGAGTCCTATTGCTGAGCAGAACAACTTCTTAGGTGACTTTCTTCTTACTGGCATTCCTCCGGCACCAAAAGGAAAAATCAGGTAATTGATTGTTTCAGCATTGATGCCAATGGTATCTTGACTGTGACATCATCAGAAGAAAAGTCTGGTAAGAAGAACCAAATTACTATAACAAATAACAAAGGGAGGTTATCAAAGGTGGAAATTGATAGGATGTCGAATGAGGCCAAGACGTACATTGCTAAGGATAAAGAGCAAAAGAAGGCCGCGAATGCCAAGAACACTTTGGAGAATTATATACATGAGATGGAGGATGCCTTAAGAGGTAGTGGAGAGAACATCGGTGCAAAAGACAAGAGGAAGCTTGGGGATGCCATTGATCAGACAGCACAATGGATAAAATGGAATACCATCCATGCCGAAGCTTCTATGTTTGAGGAAAAAATCAAAGAACTTGAGGGCAGTTGTGCTCATATCATTGCAAAGCTGCGTCAACAGCTGAAAGATGTTGGTGAAGCTAGTTATTCTCGAACCAAGATTGAAGTTGTGGAGCTCGATTGACAGAGCTTTGGTGTGAGTTGTGGATATACTATCTTTGGTCTAAAATTAGTTTGTGGTGTTAATAGACAAATAGTTTGAATTACTTTGTCAACAGTCTATGTTGATGCTTTATTTGTAAGGGGTTTTGATAATGGGAACCTGACTACTTTTTAATCCTTCTGATTTTAGTACTGTTATAAGCCTCTTTTAGATCCTTTTATCTAGAAATCCGACTCCATTTAGCAAGCTTTGTTGAACTATGCTACTTGTATTTTGGACCTTGACAGTGAAAAGGCGGAGAAACAAATTTGCAAAGAGACATCAGAAGCTCATATAGGAGGAAGCTATTTTACTTTATACTTTCAATTATAATGAGGCTGACAAATACTTGGTAAATGCAAAAGTTGAAGCAGCTCCACAACAACTTTGAACCTTGAATTGTTGGAATGCTCTACACGAACTGCTGATAACAGATTATGGGTGTTGTTATTTGTCGCTCCCATTTTACCGGGTAACGCTCCCTTTTTGTCTTGAAATTCCAATTTTACCCCTAATATATAAATACAGTTTTTTCTTTTCCGACCAACATTTTTCACTTTCTTACTTCTCTCTCTAACTCTCTTACTCTCCAACTCTCTAACTCTCTAAAACACTCTATTTAAAAAAAAAATTCAAAATTATTTCTTCATTTTAAAAAAAAAAAACAAAAATCATCATAAACACAAAAAAAAAATGGGTGATTCGAGGCGGATTAGACTGAGATTCGGAGGGAGGAGCTTCGGCGGCGCTGGTGGCAGCGGCGGAGGCGGCGGCGGCGGCGATGGTGGCGAAGAGGTAATTTTTTTTTTTTTTTTTTATTTCGGATCCCAGGAACTTCTGCCCAAAAATTCCGGAAGTTCCATGGAGGATCCGCCTGGAAATTCCGGATCCTCCATGGAACATCTGGAATTTTTGGGCGGAAGTTCCTTTTTTTTTTTTTTTTTTTTTTTGCCCGTTTATAAAATTGTTAATTTAATTTTTTTTTTTCGGATTTTGTTTTTTTTTTGTTATTTAGAAGTGTTAGGGTGATTATTGTTATTATTATTGTTGATATTATTATTATTGTTGTTATTATTATGGTTAGTATATTTTGTAATGTAATTATTTTTAAAAATATGATAATTTTTATTATTTTGTTGATATTAGGTTTTTATTATTAATGTTAAGGTTATTGTCGTTAATTTGTTTTTTTTTTTTTTGGATTTTGTTATTTTTGTTGTTATTTTGAAGTGTTATGGTTAGTATTATTATTATTGTTGTTATTATTGTTGATATTATTATTATTATTGTTATTATTATTATTATTATTATTATTATTATTATTAGTGTTATTATTTTTAAAAATATGATTAGTATTATTATTAAACTAATTTGATATTATGGTTGTTGTTGTTGTTTAATTTTTGTTGCTGCTGTTGTTGTTATAATAATATTATTATTATTGTTATTAGTAGTACTATTATTAATATTTTTAATTATGATTAGTATTATAGTTGTTGATATTAGTGTTATTATTATTGTTATTATGGTTATTGTTGTTGTTGTTAATTTGTATTTGTTGTTGTTGTTGTTGTTGTTGTTGTTGTTAGTTAGTTAGTTAGTTATTGTTGTTGTTAATTTGTATTTGTTGTTGTTGTTGTTGTTGTTATTATTATTGTTATTATGGTTATTGTTGTTGTTGTTATAATAGTATTATTATTATTATTATTATTATTATTATTATTATTATTATTACTAAAATCGGATTATTTTTTATTTTATGTAGATCGAGGGTTCTGGTGCTCGACATGCAATATCACGACGTTTGAAAGCGTCTGTTAGGAGACAGACATCTCGATCTTCACCGCTTCAGCCCGAGCAGCAGCAATACGGGTCTACTAGTGGTTGGTCTAGACCAACAGTCTGATAGTAGTCGGCCCTTGTACTCTGCAAGTGAAGCACCAAAATCTGACGAGGAAAAAGAATGTTCGACTAGTCATGCTGGTGACCGGGATGAAGAACAGGACCCTTAGGATTTCCATATGGTATATAGGGGTCAGTCTGGGAGATTTGTTGGTAGTGGATCGAGTCAGCCTACTTCCAACTCTGCAGAGGCATGGTTAGTGCAGGAACCGATGCCGGGTGGGCCTGAGGATGGGTCAGTTATCCTTAGTTTTGGCGGTCACGTGGCACGGTATATCTGGATGGAACAGGAGCGTAGTGTTTTGCGCTGTTTGAGTAGGACAAAGTTATGTTCTGACTTGTTCACTTGGCGAGGTCGTCAATCTGTGGAGGACCTTGCGGCGATTGATGCTAGTTGGTTGTCTCACTTGCCTGACCTGATGTTTAAGAGACTTGATTGGTCGTTGATTTTTCTGCTTTTGTTGAGAGGTGGCAGCCAGATACGAATACCTTTCACATGCCATTTGGGGAGATTACGATCTTGCTGCACGACGTGTACAACATACTTGGGTTACGGGTTGCACGGACGTGTTACGGGACGCGTGCTCGGTCACCATGGATATGACTCTAGATGATCTGTCTGAGGTTTGCGGCACAAAGACCATTTGGCAGGGTAGTGGGGTGTTGACTGATAAGATTTTTGAGCCGACATTGGCGGTTGACCGGGATTTTAGTGAGCAGCTTGATGCATACTTGTGGTTAGTGCTTGGAGGTACACTGTTTGTAGACAAGAGTGGTAACCGTACGCATCCTTCCTTCCTCCACGAGCTATGTCACACGGATGTCTCTATTAACGAGTATGCTTGGGGAACAGCTGCACTGGCCTACTTGTATCGGCAACTGGGCACGGCATCACGGAAAGGTGTTGATTCGATTGCTGGTTGTCTCACGCTTCTGCAAGCGTGGATTTACGAGTACTTTCCATGCTTTCGGCCACAGCAGGGTACCTTAACCCAGGACCTTCAAATGCCTCGTGCGTCTGCTTGGGATGTTGGAGCGGGATGTCCTAGCAAGAACCTGGAGAGCCTGTTAGCTTTTCGTACTAGGATTGATGCGCTTACTGACCGTGAGGTGAACTGGCTACCGTACGGAGCTGATCCTGCATTACGAGTGCCCCCCACTTTATTCATTGGCTGCATCCAGTACCGTAACATCATTGAGCCATACATGCCTGATAGAGTGGTGCGCCAGCTTGGTTTCGTGCAAGGCATTCCCCGCGAGATCATCAGGCCAGAGAAGGCCAAGAGGCCGACTAACTTGAAGATGTATCGGGTAGACTTCCCGACTGAGATGACAGCTGTGATGTGGAACAGGTTTATCCCTGGGGTATCTCAGAGTGTTGTTTTAGGTGCCTTACCCAGGCTTAGTGCTGCAGCTCCTTCGGTTGCGCCTGGTTACATGCAGTGGATGTACAGGTTTTCTCACCCGCAGGTATCTCCAGGTGCAAGAGTTACAAGCAACCTGCCTGAGCGGACTAACACTGATTACGTAAGTATTTATGCTTATTATTATATTAACAATGACTTCTATGAATTTTTGTGTTTATAATATGTTATTGTTTGATTTGCAGTGGATGGGTCGGTCCATGGAGATTCACCAAAGAGCACTAGCTGAGTATCCTGAAATGTCGAGTGAGACTCGAACAATGACTGAGCAGCTTGTATTTGATTGGAGGTCAAAAATGGGACTTTAGATTATGTTGATTAGATGTTCTGTTAGTGGTTTTAATTATGTTATGAACTTATTTTTAATTTTTTTAAAATGTAATGTATAAACTGGACACTTATTTTATTTTATATTTGATGTTTTGTTGCATATCATGTTAGATTAAAAGCAAATACATTTAAAATTAATTTCATAATTCTAATTTTCTTACAAATGTTCAAAGTTAGTGAATGTACATTACAAACTACCTAACTAATGCATCCCACATGTCCCTTCTCAATTTATATGCTTGATCCCATCCATTGACACTATCCTCGTGGTGTTCCGTCCACCAACCGGCGATCGGCGGGAGTGGTGAATCAGGTACAAGGTCAAGATGGATAAAATGTGATCCACCAACTGTAGCAATCACAAACTCTCGAGTCGATGACCGAACCCCGTTGCTTGCCCTAAGCGGTAATACTGTGATGCATGGGTAGTAGCAAGTTGGTACTAGGCCTACTCCGAGACAAATCACCCTTGCGTTGAACCACGTAGCAATAGGAAATAAATCTTGAATTGTAACCATCCAATTCCGCTCCCGGACAGCCCCACCATCCCATCGAATACGCTCCACGTTCATCCAAAGTCGCTCAAGCCCGTAAATCCGTTCGTACAAAGCAGGATGACCAGCGATCTCGTTCGCTATTGTTTCCCGAGCGTCTAACCACTGATTTTGATCGCCAAAGAAGAAGTCGGCAACACAACGAAAGCCACAGTTCCCATCACCGATGACATCCTTCCAAAACGTAATGTACGGCAACATTGGGGCTGGAAGCAAGTTCCAATACCTGCATTGACTAATGTCACTTGGATCTACAACACAAAATTAAAAGATAAATTATTAGTAAAGCTACAAGTATTAAGTTTACATATTTTTATATTAAATATAGAATTTTAGTATTACCTGGTTCTGGGTCACCACCACGTTGAGTGTGTTGACGGTTCACATGCTCGAAATAGCTACGATCACGCCTAATGTTATTTCTCTTCGGTCGACCACGAGTGTTAAGGCTGATATGTGGTTCTTCAAGGTGTGAATGATCTGGATGTAGCTCCTCTTCAATGATTTGCGTTACATTTCGACGTACGGTCGGGTCACTTTCCATGACTTCGTCGATTAGGGACCGAAAATGTGCAGCCTCCTCGGTCGAATCATTTACCACTTCAGGAATGTTAACACCATCACCAATAACCAATATCTTCCAAAAAGAATGAATTTGGCTGCTATACAATCCTGTCTGTGCAACTATCGAATCATGTATCTGGCAAGCACATGGAAGACCATGGGTCACACGCATAGCACATCCGCACCGTTCATGGACCTGGTAACTCAAATCCCGCATCCTTTTCGTCTCCTTATCCAGAACTTTCAAGCAATGTTGAGACACTTTGCCATTTATACGTGAAAGTGGCAACTGTCTGTACATCTGACCAATTTTAGACCTTGATGCCTCCAACTCATTACGAATTTGTATGATGCGATTACCAATATGACAATGGACTCGGGCCCATACGGTATCCAAAGCACCTGCCAATGATTCTAATTAGTAAATTCAAATACAATTACAATTACGTAACAACGAGAACAACTAATAAAATCATACAACTAACCTGTGGATGATTCAAACCAAGTTTTCACTGCTGAATGTTGGCTCTCAACTCTGCAGTTGGTGGTGATACCAAAATGAAGAATCTGGTTCGTCCAAAATTTCACAAATTTCTCCTTATGACAAAGCCATGTTCTCTGAACATACTGAATCACTTCCGGATATTTTCCCCACCTCACTTGCATGGCAGTTAGAGCACGATCATACTTCGCCTGTGTTGTTGCATTCACGATTTTGAACCATCTCCCAGCTCTAAAACTGACACCAACCGTCTTGTTTCCAAACATCTTCGTCACCTTAGCCTCCACATCTCTGTTGATGTGCCATAGACAGAGTAAATGTGACATCCCTGGAAAGACTTCTCTCAAAGCCACACAAAGCCCAAGATCACGGTCTGAAATAAATACAGATGGCTCTATATCAAACCCAATCAACTCCCTTAATCTCTGCAACACCCACTGATAGCTAGTCGTGCACTCGTCGCGCATGAAAACATATCCAACTAGAAAATTCTGGTTTGTCGGTGTCACGCCTACAACCTCAAAGAAAGGCATGTTATATCGATTGGTCTTGTAAGTAGAATCCATACCTATGACATGTGGGTATGTGCGGAGTATGTTGACCATGATCGGGTGCACCATAAATGCATGTTGCAAAACGTTGTGATCATCGTTCGTGACCCAGTAAATGTATTTACTCTCTCTCGCCAGATGAAGAAATTGCTGAACAACTCCTCTTCCTTCGGACATCTCCATCCTGAAGTCATTTCGGCAATTGTAAATGTGTCGGATGTTTGGATGATCATCAGGAAATTGCTCGACAATAGTGGACATGATGTTACGGGGAGCAACCTTGGACTTTGTCATGTCCCGCACAACCTGTTTTGCACCCGGACTCAATCCGCTCACTTTACGGTGACCCTCTGGGTACACAATCATTGGGTGGTTATGTGTCCCGGTGTGATCATTTTTCGCAGTGATCTTCCAACTTTCGGTGCTCACATCATAATATATCTTGATGTAGAATGGACAACCATTAGCTTTGGTTTTGGTGTCCTTCCGTATTGCGTTCTCCAAATCTCTCGGCTTGCTCCTTCGTGATCGATCACATCGCAAATACCGATACGGCCGACCATCTCTGGTTTTGTTATAAGACAATTTCACCAATATAAATCCCAATTTTATGGAAACACCATCAGCCCATGTAACTGCATCGTCAAATGTAGGAAAAAACGTATCGGTGACAAAATTCCCACTATAATTCACACCGTCACCGCCTTCCTCAGATTCCATATCCTATACAAATTAAACAAAACATGCTTTATGTCAAAATAATAATAATAATAATAATAATTATTATTATTATTATTATTATTATAATTATAATAATAATAATAAAAAAAACAATACTAATACTAATAATAATAATAATAACAATACTAATAACAATAACAACAAATAAAAAACAATAACAATATTAGTGATAATAAAATTATAATAACAACTACAAAACAATTTATAAGACCATAACATTAATTAATTAATAAATAATAAAAATAAAAATAAAAATAATAATAATAATAATAATAATAATAATTATAATAATAATAATAATAATAATAATAATAATAATAATAATATTAAAATTATATTTCTACTAATTAATAATAACAATATCAACAACAACAACAATAAAAATAAAAATAACAGCAACAACAACAATAATAATATCAACTACAACAACAACAACAATAATATCAACAACAACAACAACTACGATAATAATAATAATAATAATAATAATAATAATAATAATATTTTCAATAATAATAATGAAACAAAAAATAAACATATTACTAATAATCATATTAATACAACAAAATTACATTAATTATCAAATACTAAATCACAACAATAATCACAAGACCACGAAAAAAAATACATAAAAAAAAACTTAATAAACATAAAAAAAATTAAATAAACGTACTTAACATTTAAAAAAAATATATATGAATAGGGACATCCGCCTAAAATTTTCGGATGTCCCTTGGTACATCCGCCTAAAATTTCCGGATGTACCATGGAACATTCGGATTTTTAAGGCGGATCCCATCTTCCGCTTGAAATTTCCGGATGTTCCATGGTACATCCGAAAATTTTAGGCGGATGTACCTAGGACATCCGGAAATTTTAGGTGTATGTCCTAATTACCGAAAATAAAAAAACTTACAGAATGATCCGACGCATTCTCCGGCGTACGTATGTTCCACTCGCCGTCCATGACCCAAGACCCGTCGGAAAATTTCACGATTTTTAAAAATAGAACATTTAGGTGGTCGTGGGGACCGATTTTGTTGCAAGGCCGTGGGGACCGATTTTGGGAGGCTCGGGACAGCAATGTCGTGAAGTGAGGGGATCGTTTCATGTATGGTGTCCAAATGGGGAACAAGGTCCTTTTTATAACACAAATTGCATAAAGGGCATAGTGGTCCATTCAAGTCAAAAAGGGAGCGTTACCTGGTAAATTGGGAGCGACAAATAGCAGTTGAGTTACTTGTGTGCCTGATCGTGTCCATGGATTTCGTTAAACATTCTTTAATATTCTAATTTTGCAAATACCCAAACTTAAAATAAAGATTGTTTTTTTTAGTGTTCTACCCGGTTCACCCTTTGGGCTAATCCGGATTCGGAGATCAGTTCTGGGTGGTTAGGTTCCAGTCCCCTCCCAATTGTTGTTGCGGGGGATCGAACACGGGTTCTCCCTACCAAGTGTAGTCCCAATCACCACTATACCAACAACCAATTGATTAAAATAAAGATTGTTAAGATTGTTGTCTTCCATGTATTCTAAAGTTATCTGCTTTGGATATCTAGGGAGAACTATGCTGATAACTTAATAAATAATGCTAGATATTTACTCACTTGCTATAATTACTTGCTATAATTACACAAATTAAGAATTTTTTTTTTTTTTTTTTTTGTGATGTGAGTGGGTGTAAAATTTAGTAAGCGAGAGTATAAAAAGGTGGGTTTGTGTCAGAAATGGTGAAAAAAGTAAAAGAGAGAGCATGAAAATGTGTAATTATGGGGTTGAATTGAAAGAGTAAGATTGTAAAATGATTATGTATGTCATTAAAAAATAAAGCAAAGTGAGATAAACAATAAACAAAATGAGTTGAAAATTAAAAATAAAAAAACTACCTAAAATGAAAAGTGAGTAGAAAAAACAATTGAAAGAATACATTGTTATAAGTCTTATTACTACCATAACATTGGTCAATTGTATGTTATTATCAAACTAAAATTTAGGGTTCGTTGCTGAAGATTAAAAATTTATGGTTTCATAATCTTTGGAAGTATCTAGAAGATCATATGAGTATTTTCACTCATATAACCAATTTAATTAGTACTACCTCGCATATTGTATTGCTTCGGATGGCATATTTTATTAAGGCGATAGATCATAGATGTCTGCAATGTAACTAAATCTAAGGAATTATTTGTAAGTGTCGTTTAGTTATCTTTTGTAAATGCAATTTTTTTTATCCTTATAAATTTATCCTACACTAAAGCTTATAAATAACTTTATCCTTATAAAATCCTTGTTTCAAAAAAAAAAAATATTAAAAAAAAATCCTATCTTCTTTAATTGGATGGTTAATATGACTAAAAGGGAGTGTTTGGAAAGTGGGATTATGAGGTGGGAATAGGATTATTTAATCCCAAGCTCCAAAATCCCATGTTTGTTTGATGGGAATTAGTTTAGGGAGTGGGAATAAGCTTGGGAATATTTACCCTCTATTCCCACCATTTTATTACCTAGGGGGGTAGGTAATAAAATGGTGGGAGTTCTCTAGCTATGTAAAAGACATAATTGCCCTTAACTTAATAATACATATCAAATTTGAGTCTTTGAGATTTAAGACAATAAGGATAAAATTGTAATTTCATCCTTTAATCCTAATTTTATTCCAAGTTATATGCCAAACAAGAGATTGGGAATATTTGACAAACTCCCACTTACCAATTCCCATTCTCACTTCCACTTTATATTTCCCAAATTCCCATTCCCACTTGCCAAACGCCCCGTAAATTGTTTTCATTGCAACTATTGACGAATTTGACGATTAATTGGTTACTTGCAATCAAAGACTTTAGTCAACACTAAACATTCATAAGCAAAATCTACACCTCCCCTATAATTATTTCACTTCAATTCCCATACTTGTGCAATCATCAAACTAAATTGCGTCAAACCCTAACCAATCTTTTCGAGAATCCTTAATTCCTTGAATAATGGTGATTAAAGGGAAAAAAGAATGGCCAGCATAGGAATCGATCTCGGGACAACATACTCTTGTGTTGGAGTTTGGCAGCACGGCCGTGTTGATATCATTATCAACGATCAAGGAAACAGAACGACGCCGTCTTGTGTTGCTTTCAATCAAACCCAACGTCTTGTTGGCGAGGCTGCTAATAATCAAGCTACCGCTAATCCAATTAATACTATTTTTGGTATTTCTATCCTCCAATTTTTATTGTGTTTGCTTTATAATGTTATAGCTTGATTTTGCCTCTTTCTTTTTAACGTGTGTACAATTTATCTCAGTAGCATATAGTATGTTGATTAATTAATTAATTAATTAATTAAGCTGTTGATTTTTGTTGATTAAGCTGTTGATTTTTGTTAAGAATCTGGATTGCATTTGAATGTACTGTGGAATTACATGTATACGAGTTGTTGAGCTAACAAGTCTTAGCTTATTTTTCTCCTAAAGCACATTAATTATTTATGTGACAAAAGTTTATATCTCAAAAATAGATGCAGTCAATAGCAGTCCTGAAATTCGTCAATTTCTTATAATTTGGATGATGTTAATTGCCGTGTTAGTTATTCACATAAATAAACTGATGCAGATGCAAAGGAGGCAAACCCAGGCAATCAGCCTGATTGATGAATTTTGTCAATCAGTTGCTTTTTGTGGGCCCCCCCTTGCCAAATAAATTAATTTTATACTACTATTCGGTTTTGAAGACGTTAGTAACTCTAACGTCTGTTTCTTTTTTTTTTTTTTTTTTTTTTTTTAAAGAAATTTATTAACATCTTCTCCAATCTTCCACCCCAACACCGTCATAGTCACCATCACTCCGACCACCATCCGAAACCCATCACAGCCACCACCATATTTACGCCTTCCGCCGAACGAACCCAGAAAGCCTGAGATCTTCGTCCTCGCTCTTCTTCAGTTCTTCCCGTCGTCCTCTTCTTCCCAATAATGGCAGCTTCGCGGCGAAACTAAAAGACACCCTACTTGAATAGAGTGTAAATTAGGGCCATATCAACTCTTTAGGGAAAGCATTTCATTTGCGGCGACATTTTAAACTGCCATATAAGGTGGGTTTTTGCGGAATTTCAGAATTGGGTGATGGGTTTTGGAGCTTGAGTTCCATAGAAATGGAGGTTGAGAGAAATTGGGGGTTGAATTGAGTGGTAATTGTGGTAATTAAGGGAGTGAGAATGAAGATGATGATGATGATGAGGTTAATCAAGCTTTCATGGTGGTTGTTACTTGTTAGGATTGGAAGCTGAAATTCTGGGTTTTGAGTGATCGATTACTCCCATTCGCATTTTTATTTAATTTTTTGGGTTGTTGTTGGAGTGCTTGTTGATTGATTTTAATGGAAGGAGGAGGAGGTGGATTTGCAGGGAGTGGGGTGGATTTGCAGGGAGTAAGAGTGAGAGAGAGAGAGTGAGGTGGATTTGTGGTAACGACAATGAATATCAACGTTTGCACAAGACCAAACTACCCTTACTAATATGACTGAAAAGACGAAATTGACCCTTGATTTACACAAACTGTAAATCAGCTTGATTGACTTGTATTTCCTCGATGCAAAGAGGCTTATTCACTAGTAGAAAAACTTTCATTTGCGTCACTCGTAGAAACAAGCGAAGCAAATGATATATTTTAGCTTCATTATAAGTTATTTGCGTCGCACATTTTCTATGAAGCGACGCAAATGCCTGATATGCTTCAGCTTTATGTTATTTGCGTCACGTTTATTTATTAGAACGACGCAAATAACGGTCTTATTTGCGTCACTCCTTTTGGAACAAGTGACGCAAATGAGTTTGAGAGTTATTTGCGTCACTTCTTTAATTAATGAGCGACGCAAATAGTTAATTCACCTCATTAAATTTAAGTTTTTTGCGTCACTTTTTTAATTAATGAGCGACGCAAATAAGTCTAGGTTAGTAATAAATTCTAATTTTTCCACCCATCTCCCCATTTGCTGCTGCCTCCAAATTCAATATACCCACAAAAAAAATACTCTTGCTAACCCATTTGTTGTTGCCTTTAACAACTGAATTCAACAACACAATTCTTTCAAACCCAGAAAAATAGAAAGATCCAAGCCAAAAATCTCTGATTTTCGAGCACAAAATCAAATCAAAACCCCCAGCAAAATCGAACACGAAAACCCCCATACAAATCGAGCAAACCCCCCCCCCAATTCGAGCAGAAGTTCGGTGTATAAACCCCCAGCAAATTCGAATGTAAACCCCAGAATAATCGAAAAATTTCCTTTCAAAAACCCCCTAAGTCGAGCAGAAATTCCAACCTAAACCCCCAACAATTTCGAACCCTAAAAACCCCAGAAAAATCGAACATTTCGAGCAAAAAAAACCCCCCAATTAGAGAAGAAATTCGAACCTAAAACCCCAACAAATTCGAACCCTAAAAACCCAGAAAAATCAAACATTTTTTTGCCAAAAACCGCCCAATTTGAGCAAATATTCATACCTTAACCCTAGAAAATTCTTACCCTAAAAACCCTAGAAAAATTAAACATTTTGGAGCCAAAAACCCCCCAATTATTCGAGCAGAAATTCAAACCTCAACCTCAAGCAGTAAAATGCCCCAATTCAAGCTCAAAATCAGTGCTAAACACCCCAGAAAATTCAAGCAAAACCCCCTAAAAACTTATTATATTTTACCCCCATAAACCCTAGAAATTTCGACCTAATTAGAGGAAAAGTTCCGTGAAGTTCGACCCATTGTAGCAGTCAATTTGTGAAGTCAATTTCAGCTAAGTTCAACCCATTGGCTCTTGTTGTTATGTTAAATATTTTCATGGTAGATAAATTTCAGCATTTAACTTGAACAAGTACTTAGTTTAATTGCAAAAATGGTGTTAGTTCATTAGAAAATAATTTTTAGCTTGTTTGGCTTTTGTTGGTTTAATTAATATATGTAAATTTATGTCAGATTTCTCTACTATGTGGAAGTGAATTCCTTAAGTTCCACGAGTTTGTGATTGTATACAAACAATTGAGGCGGTAGTACACATACGACATTGTCTTCGCTTGTTGTATATACTCTAACCATTCTCTGTAGTTTTAGCTTATTTTTTGTGGTTGGTATAATGATTTGTGAATTTTATTGGATTTCTAATTGTGATATAATTGATTGAAATTGCAATAATATTTGCATCATAGTGCATGACCCAAGGTTTAGTGACTTGTTATTTTAGGAACCGGGCAATGGATTATGCCATAATACCATTAATTAGAATGTGTTGGGTCAATTGGATTTGCAGTACTTAATTGACTGTCTATGATTGTTAATTGTATTTAGGCCCTTGTAAGTTGCAACTATGTTTCCATTCATGAATCCTGATTGTATCCTCGGATTTGAGGTGAGTTGAATTTAGCTATTTGCTGGGCATTAGGATCCTCTTTCACCTGTTGTTTTATTTATAAATAAATATTGGATTCTTATAATTAATAACTTGTCTTTACAGGGAGGATGATATGCTTAAGAAGCTTGGAGACCTTGTGAATGAGAGTCATTATAGCCGCAGTGTTCTCTATGAACGCAGGTAAAAAGCTTCAGCAATTAATATTGCTAAATTGAGTTCAATATGCTTATTTGATGCACTACTATATTTTTGATTAAATGCAACAGTAAAAAAAATAGCTAATATATATGCTGTTGGCAGGGGGATAATTTAGCTAAGAACTAGTGAATTTCTTTTTTATTGCTACATTTTAATGTATGTTCTGACTTTTGGGATTAATTAAGTGGGCTGCTGGGTATTTCAATCACTTGTACGTTGGTTTCTTAAGTTCTTTGTATTTTAATAATCACCATCATAACAATAAAAATTCTTTGAAAAAGAGGAAATAACATTATAATTAACAATAAAATCTAAATCATACTTCATTATGAATTGTGCCAAGCAATTTAAATTTTAAGAAAGAAATAAAAATAGAGAAAGTACGATTTAAGAAGTTTAAAAGCCCAAAGAGAAAGAAAGAGATAACTTCTAACCCAAAGAGAATGAAATAAAAATAGAGAAAGTACAATTTAAGTTTTGCTTTTGCTTGTCACCTGAATTATTTCTTATTCTCACATAGTGTAATTTGAATATTTTATCTGTTCGAAATACTTCAAAATCATCATAGCAATGAGTATTTTACTACGGTATAAGCTGTCAAATATTTCATTTTTACTTAATAAATACAATTTGAAGTACCTACACTTGAATTACACCTTTGCTCATCTATTTGTGTTGTGCTAATAGGATTTTTCAAGATCTACACCGTATAAAGAGGAGGAGATAAACGAGGTTCAAGATATTTGGGCAGACTATTTTATATGCTATGTTGAACTTTAGATCTACACTTAGCAAACTCCATTTACTTATTAGACTCTTGTTTTATTTGTTAGGCTTGACATGAATGTATTTGGTTTACCAACAATTTGGGTTGGTATTGGTGATTGTATTGGATGATGACCATAATGTCAATGATATTGAGTTGTAAATTTATTGGACAGGTTTATAATATGCCGCCGTCATTCCCAATTTTATGGGTAGGCCAAAATACAAAGGAGACTCTGCCGAAATTTACATTTGCATTCAATAATATTGCATTTTAATTTCAATTATTAGCGTTAGCATATTACTTTATACCACTAGCAAGGAAAAAAGGTACTACCATATACAAGCAATTATTATAATTAAAAAAAAAAAAATCACCTCATTTGCGTCACTCATTAAACAAACAAGTGACGCAAATACAGTAGTTTTGTATTGTCTACTCAGTCATTTGCGTCACTCCTATATAAACAAGTGACGCAAATAACCAAAAATAAGTTTATCGGAAGAGTCATTTGCGTCGCTCTTTTATAAAGGAGTGACGCAAATAACAAAAAAGAAGTTTATCAGAAGAGTCATTTGCGTCGCTCTTTTATAAAAGAGTGACGCAAATAACAAAAAAGAAGTTTATCAGAAGAGTCATTTGCGTCACTCTTTTATAAAGGAGTGACGCAAATAACAAAAAATAAGTTTATCAGAAGAGTCATTTGCGTCGCTCCTTTATAAAGGAGTGACGCAAATAACAAAAAATAAGTTTATCAGAAGAGTCATTTGTGTCGCTTGTTTATAAAGGTAAGCCTCTGCAGTCTGTTTCATCTTACCCTAACACATTCTTAACAAAAAATGCTGGTACCACAAATAAGAAAGAGGTGGGTAAGAATGTGTTAGTATTTGATCTTGGCGGTGGAACATTTGATGTATCTTTGGTTAGAATTGGTAAACAGACTTATGAAGTGAAAGCAGTTAGCGGAGACACCCATTTAGGTGGTGGGGATTTTGACAGTAGAATGGTTGATTACTTTGTGGCTGAATTTAAGAGAAAACATAACAAGGACATCAGTGAAAGTCGCAAGGCTATTGGGAGGTTAAGATCCGCTTGTGAGAGGGCGAAAAGGATGCTCTCATCAGCTACCGAGACTAGTATTGATGTAGACTGTCTCTATGAGGGTATTGATTTCAATTCAACTATCTCCCGTGCCAAGTTCGAAAAGTTGAACATGGATTTGTTTACAAATTGTATGGTTCCTGTTGTGAAATGTTTGGAAGATGCCAAGATGAAAAAAGATGATGTTGATGTTGTTGTTCTTGTTGGTGGGTCAACTAGGATTCCAAAGGTACAACAACTGTTGAAAAAATTCTTTAATGGGAAGGAGCTCTGCCAAAGCATTAACCCAGATGAGGCTGTTGCATATGGTGCTGCAATTCAAGCTGCAATCTTGAGCAGTGTACACAACAATAAAGACTTTACACTAGTAGATGTCACTCCTTTGTCCCTTGGAGTTAAGCTTCATAGTGGTGAGATGAAATTTTTTGTCCTAAGAAATTCTACCATCCCAGTGAAAAAGTCGGGTAATGCCTACACTGCATTTGATAATCAGACAAGCGCTGAATTTCGTGTATATGAGGGTGAAAGACCCATTGCCGTAGACAACAACTTCTTAGGTACATTTACTCTGCACAATATCCCTCCTGCACTGAAAGGCCATGAAAAATTTGATGTCTGCTTTGAAATCGATAATGATGGCATCTTAACGGTGTCATCGCAGCATATAGGGACGACTGGCAACAAGAAGCAAATCACTATTACAAATCACAGTGGTAGGTTATCCAAAGAGGAGATTGATCGAATGGTAGAGGAGGCTAAGAAGTACAAGGCAGAGGATGAGGAGTGCAAAAAAGCTATAAAAGCCAAGCTTGCATTGCAGAACTATGCTGAAAGTATGCGGGACATGGTAGGAGTTTGATGGAAGAAGTTTCGGGAGGAGGATGCTAACAAGATGAATGATGCAATTGAAAAGACTACTCAGTGGCTAGATACTCAGTGGCTCAATTGGAATTTCAATCTCACTCAAGTTTCTGAGTATGAGGAAAAGTTAAACGAGCTGAAGAGTATTCTTGACCCTATCATTGCAGAAATGCCTTAACGAAGGTCTGCTACCAGAGATATTGTCGTCGACCCCCAATAATCTATACGACATGGCTACAGAATGATGTTATTAGTTGTGCTTGAATTCTGAAGGATGCTTTGGGGTTTTGAATTTATTTTAGTCAGGAATTGGGTTTTGATGGTATGGTGAGAAAGGATATTGATCATTTGATCTGTTTTGTTTATACTACAGAACTTAATTTAATTTGCTATACTTGTGAATAGCTTCCGTATTTTACATGTTACTTGTTCGTCTAATCGTCTTCTTGGCCAATTAGAGCCTTGTTATAGTTCTTAGACAAATCGATATGGTTTACAATACCAGTTTTAAGACTTGTATTGTTGTAGGCCTTGTAGCCTAGTACTACCTCCTTTTCCTAACATTCTTTATATTTCGTCTTAGATAGGTTTTGAAAGTGTTTTTTTTTTTTTTTTTTTTTTTTTTTTTTTTTTTTTTTTTTTTTTACAACAGCAAAATCCTAAATTAAACATAAACTAAATTACACATTAAAACATTAGGGGTAGAACCATATAACAACTTTCTATTCGGAAACCAAATAATTTCAGTGGGGTAGAACGCTTTTCTTTTTGAACCACTCATCCTACAAAACAAAGGGTTAGTAAAGACAGAGGAAGGTAAGCTTCTTGGCGAATGACTCTTCCTTCTAGCTCTGGAACGACGAGATGAAGCCAATATCATCAAATTTTGAGAAGATGATACGTTGAGGCAAGCAGGAGACTTCGATGGGGCACAGACAGGAGCAATCGGAAGGGGCACAGACGAACTTTCACGTGATGACACTTGATCAACCACACCTATGGTCAACTCTTCTTGTGCCAAATTTGGAGTTGTTTCACACCTATCATGCCCTTTCACAGGGGGGTGACTAATCTCCATTGGTGTTAAAACTTCTTGAGCTTTAACACAGTCCATCTTCTTTGGAGTATCCAGTACTCGGATGCTAATGAAATCCTTCTTAGAGGAGCAATAGTAGTGTAGTGTTCGTCCCTTAGAAATCGCTCCATACATTGTTGGAGTAAGATGAAAATAGGAATCAATATGTTTTCGGTTACAAAACCGATAACTTGACCCTGTAAGATTTGGGTTTTTTGTTTCTGAAGTTGACTTCAGATCAGAATTGTTATCAATAATGTTGGGCCTTTGATCTTGATCGATAGGATTGATTTTACCCTCTTCCGAATTCAAAGATTTGCCAACAACATCCTTTTTCTTATTGGTGACATCTTGTACACCAATACACCTACGAACACAACCATCTCCACCGCCATCTCCTTCCCTTCTTTTCCCTTTTTTCCCTAACTTTCTCTTTTCTTCTTCCTTCCCAAAAGTAGCATAATCTCTAAACATTTCATCCTCTCTTGTAACTGCTAGTGCCTCATTAACAAAATTCGGAGACCAACCCAATAAAGATGTCACCTCCTTGAGTGTGTGTTGAAACTCTTTGTTATTGGGATCAATCCTAATCGCTTGTGCAAGATCCATGAAAGCTAAGTCGGGTTTATTGAGCTCTACAGCTGCCACCGCCCTTCTAAAATAAGCTTTCACATTAGCAGTATCATAACACAAAACTGCAAAACACAACTGACCCACCTTGTGAAAGTTTTTCTCTTTGACATAACAAACACCTAAGTTAAGATTAAGAGACACAACAAGGCTCGAAAAAACAGACTTATCTTCATCATTATAGACCATAACAAAAGACAAGATCTTGAGTGCAAGAGAGTATTTTACAAGCGCTAATCCCATATTACCCTCTTTGTAAAAAGTGTTACCTTCATCTTTCAAACCCCTAACAAAGTTCAGAATACCAAAGGGATTCTCCAACTTCCCAACTAGCAGCTCTAAATTATGAGAAGAGATATCATCCTCTTCAACATGAGCAATACACAAAATCCCCCTAAGTTCTTCAAAGTTATCCACAAAAAATTATGAATAATAACAACTAAACACAACAAAAGCAAATAGAAATTAAAAACCAAACTATTACACATAAAGCAAACATGCTTCTCCATAACATAAATAAGCCATACCAAAAGAAACCATTTTGACGAGAATACTTTGGCACAAGAACGAGAGACCCCCAACACATGCGCCGTTGCCGCTGCAGCTATACCACCTGGAGTATCCGTAGTCCGTTGATGCGAGAATGGTCTGAGATTGTAAGACCATAAAATCCCCAAAAGTTGAAAAACCAAACCCTAACCCTAACTTTCTAAAGGAAAATTCGAGCAATTGAGTTAGCTAAGCAAAGCACCGCTCCTAATTAGCCTCGAGGCCGTCAAGAATTGCTCGTCGACGACCTTAATTGAGCTAACATTGCTCTGGCCGCCGGCGGCAGGGGAAAGCTTGAAGTAGTTCTCTGCTTTTAGAGAGAAGGGAGAGCGTTTTTTTTCCCAAAATATTCTTGAATTTTGATGTTGACAGGTTTTGAAAGTTATTAACACTTTGCTTTACTCAATTTTTGACAAAAATATTTCCACTAACTGGCGCATACTTTTTGTGCTTCTACAGTGTTTTGTGCTATATTGCATCCATCCATACCTTATAAAAAGTACAAGATTACTCTTATAAATAGTGTTACGTCAATTATGTCCTTCAAAATATGTATTTACATATATACCCTCATTAATAATTAATATGTATTTACATATATACCCTAATTAATAATTAATATGTATAAGTTTTTGTAATGAATAGTGCTGTCAATTCGGGTAAATGGGTCGGGTTTGAGTCGGGTTAGTGTAGGTCGGGTCATCTCGGGTCGGGTCAGTACGGGTTAATGTCGGGACCTATGCGGGTCGGGTTCGGTTCGGTCATGCTTGAGTCGGGTCACGTCGGGTCATACATCTTATCGGGTTCGGGTCGGGTTTAGGTCGGGTCAATAAAAGGTCGGGTTACATTCGGGTCGGGTGAAAAACAGGTCGGGTTACATTCGGGTTTTTACGGGTTTAAACGAGTTAGGGTCCTGTTCGGGTTCGAGTCGGGTTCGGTTCAAGTCAATTATTTACGGGTTATAATCAGGTCGGGTCATTATCGGGTTCGAGTCGGGTTCGGTTCAAGTCAATAATTTGAGGGTCATTTTCAAGTCGGGTCATTCTCGGGTTCGAGTCGGGTTCAGTTCAAGTCAATAAAATTTTAAAAAAAAAAAAATTTGAAAGCTCCAAATCAAATTGCATAATTTAAAACATTTAAAAAAATATTAAAATAAACAAGTGAATACTAAAATTTGAAAAAAAAAATATAAGTAGTTATATGGAAGTTTATTTACGGGTTATAATCTTATGTATTTGTTAACGTCAAATCTCTATTGTAGATGTCGTATGACTTTTAATTAATGAAATGTTTTTGCTATTCAAAAAAAAAAAGTTTATTTATAAGATAAATTTAGAAAAAAATACATTTGGCTGATTTAATTAGACAAAAACACTATCTTTCAAAAAAAAAAATAGTCAAAATCACTATCACCGATTCACCTCACTCACCCCTTATATTGCCTCAAATACGTTTAAAAAACATTGACAGCTCAGAGAGTCACAGCTCTACTCTAATACTCTATCATCTCATGTCCTCAAATAGCTCATTGCTCATATAGGAAGTTGAAGATAATTAGGAAAAATAAAATCAATCACAATAGAGATTTCATGGTGGAAAATTTCGTCAATCTCGCCATTAGAGTGCAACCTTCCTTAATATACTAATATTCAATCATTTATTTATTTTTATTTTTATTTTTTTGGTTGTTGTCCAGTTCAGTTTTTCTTTGACGAGGATTATGTAAGAGATAAGTCAAGTAAGATGAGAAAGGCCACTTTTGTTTCATAATTGGAATCCATGTTAATAAATTGGAAAAAAAGCCTGAAACTCAATAGACAGTACGGAGTACACTTTTTACCCTAAAAACTCCTAAATCCTAAAATTTGGGTTAGTAATAGGTTGAGTTTAAATTCGGGTCAGGTCAATAAGAAGTCGGGTTGAATTTGGGTCGGGTCAATAACAAGTCGGGTTGATTTCGGGTCGGGTTTAAATTCGAGTCGGGTTAGGAACGAACGGGTCGGGTTGACCTCAGGTCGGGTTAGTAACAGGTCGGGTTGAATTCGGGTTTTGACGGGTTAAATCGAGTTTGGGTCATTCTCTGGTTCGAGTCGGGTTCGATTCAGGTCAATAATTTACGGGTCACATTCGGGTCGGGTCATGGTCGGGTTTGGGTCTCAAATACTCGGGTCAACTCGGGTCTAGGGTTGGTTTCAGGTCGAGTTTGGGTCACCATTTTATTCGGGTTCAGACGGGTTAGGGTTAGTGTCGGTATTTCAGGTCGGGTCAGCTTTTGACAGCTCTAGTAATGAATAGTGTTTGGACAATTATACCATCTAAACTATTTATTAGTGTCATTAATAATGATTACTTGTTAAAAAAAAGGAAAAAAAAAAACTATTAAGAATAATGCATGGAATTTATACCCCCTAATATATATGTTTATGTATTTTTCTCATTAAAAAGTTGTCAAGAACTAAATTTATGATGTAAGGTTAAATTGAAATAGATTTTGGATATGGCTAGCTATTGCGCGCGCATCGCGCGCGTTAGCTGCCCTAGTACAAGATTAAAAGACTTGTAACAATAATATAAAGTTAAATTTAGTTTGTCAATTTTGCTTGGATCAACCATCTTACTTTTTCTACAATTTTTAGCTTGGTTCGAGTGAGCTATAGCTCGGCCCTATGAGGATTGAGGACTTGCGGCAGGCATGAGCTAGCTGTCGAGCTATAGCTCGATAGTTCGGTTTTTCTAGGGTAATTTATGGAATATTTCCTAAAATTATATCTTTTAATTTCTATGACGGCTATTTGAGTATACTTGGGCAACAATTTAGGGTTTTTATTAGGTTTCTTTGTGTTCTAAAATGACCCTTTAGTTGATCAATTAGATCATACCTTTTGAGTCATTAGATTTAGGACTCCTTTTATTATTCTCTCGTTCTTTCTCCATTATAGTGAAGAAGCTCTCGAATCCCCCACCCGTGGATGTAGGTCTAATTTGACTGAACCACGTAAATTCTTGTGTTCTTTGTTTATTTTCTTTATTGCTTTTCTCGTTTTTATTTTTCATTGATTTGTTCCGCACTTCCGCATTAATCAAACACAGTTGCATCCTTATTTCCTAACAGTTGAA